AAGCAGATTTACCGGGTGTGGGCACGCACACAACACCGGATACCCTCACCTGGTTTAGCCCACCGGTCGGGATGGTTACCGGGGTGTTACCGTTATGCAGTCTAGCTTCGAAGATCCACAGGTGAAAGTTGGGTGCCAGTTAATGGCCTTGAGACATAGTCACCGTTTGCATGAGACATATGATTCAACTACTACGGCCTTCGCGTGGACCCGAAACTTGACAGCCCTTCACTCCGGTTGGCGGTTACAGTAGGCTGTCTACTGAAAGTGCTCGCAGAGGCACGGTATCTGACGGCCCAATCTGCCTTCTTTTGCGGGAATGGTGATGTTGTACACTACTGAATTTGTAAAAACATGCTCAGGTTGGCTTTCTTAATGACCTGACAGTCCGTTATGGGTCTTCAGATTAGGTTTGGAATATTACTTTATTCCTTTTAGTGTGAGCGAGACGGGGCCTCTATGATAAGTAGATGCATTGACTGAAATATTATAAGTTCTTTTTTCGAATCACTTCCTTGATCAGTTTTCGTTGCGATAATATACTAGTTATTTTTCCAGTTGCTGTGGTAGTCGTGGTGGTGATAATAGCTCTATAAGTAAAAGTAATAGTAGTGACGGCAGCAGCAGTAGTCCTAGCAGTGATGGGAATATACGCAGCGAAAGCAGGCATTTTGCTGTGTAACGAATCGTTGTGGACTTATTTAACTGTGTTTTCTTATCATATTTACAGCAATAATAATAGTAGTCGTAGACTTACCAGACTGCACAGCCATTGTCGCGCATGCTTAATGATAATATCATCTGTAGCTGCATCCGCAGTACGATTTTTGTTTATGCCAACAGAATTTCTTGCCTACATAGAAATTGTTGCTTTGGGATAAGCAACCTAACTGGCTGCTGTCATAACTCGACTGCCTGCGACGTAAGGGAATGTCAGTTTTGCCATACTTTACACAGTAATAGAGGTTTTTTCTGGTAGAAGTAGTGGAGTACGTTTCACAGAATTGACAGTATTCATAGTGGGTTTCGGCCAGCACACCTGACAGCGACTGTGAAAGTGTTAGTGGCAGTCGCTTCAGCACCAGCAGCATAAACCGTGGTGACACTGATTGCAGTAGCCATAAAATAACTAAAGTAGGTAGGTTAATTCATGAAATGTTGACCGAAATTTCGAAATGCGTTTTCGTTTCGAAAAGATTAATTAAGTAGGGTTGTAAAACATACAGCATAATTTTGTAATAATTCAGTTACCTCAGGATACTGGCTTTCAAACGAACCTCTTTCCAGCCGCATACAAAAAATATACTCGGTAAAAAATGACTTCTTAATTTGCATACATTTTTCTCAGTGATTTCCGATGCCCTTAAAATTTCAATTCATTCTCTTGCTCACGCGGTAGAAAATGACGTTTTCTCCAAGGATGGGTATAATTCGATGTTCAAAATCTTTTTCAATTCCCGAATAATTTTGAAACCGACCTGCCGTTTTACTTGCATTCCGGGTTTCCTAACTACAAACCGTATATTTTCTACTTACGAAAAACCATATATTTGTCTACGGTATTAAAAGGAGAAAATATTCAGTTCATAAAATGTAGCAGTGGATTTGAGACATATTGTTAAATTTGCAAGCCACATCGATAAAAGCAGAGACATGACGCTAAATGAACGGTCATTTCTCGATATAAAAATATTTCACAATTATGAACTTTTTGAAAACCGAATTATACCAATCCTTGGAGTGTAAACTCGGAAGAAAACGTGGCTGAGGCCCAACATGCGGCCACAGTGAGAAAACTTCTCTAGATGGGTCGGGTACAACGGGATGGCGGTTTTGAGGGGAAGAACGGGCGGGGTAAACCGCAGAGGGCAGTGGATTGACAGCTGGATGTCGAAAAATGTTGGAAATCGCAGAAAAAAATTATTTGTTTTAATGAAGTCAAAAATACCTCAGGATGGCGCGCAAATAGGGAAAACCGTAGGCAATGCCCAATCGAAGGTGGGCTGGCCGGGGACATGATGTGATTGGCGGCCGGGGCGAGTAAACGTGAACCGCCAAGCGGCTAACCAATGGGATCGTTGGCGCCACACTTGAAAGTGGTGTGCACCAGATGGACGGGAAACAGACGATGCGCAAGGCGGACGCGAGGGTATAGCGATGTACTTCGGTTGGGTAAGAGTATTTGAATAAACTGCTTATGACAATTGCGTCACTTCCCAGCCCCTTACTGACCCCCTCCTCACTCCCTCCCTATTTATTATATCGGTGATCTCAACCGCATGCACAGTTTAATACGCATAACGCGAAAAATGTTTAGGATACCTGGACGTACTCCAACGCCACCGCACCAACCTACAGCAAGTCGGCAAACTCCCGAACTTGGCGGCCGCTGTGTGTAAGGTCACTGTTTTACGGGATCTGTAAGTATCCATGGTGGGAGCAGTTTGTAGGCCTACGTACCCCTTTTAAGTTTAAATTTAACCGCAGAGCATATTGCCGGGTGGGTATAGGTTTTGTGAGAAAATGCGGAGAAAGTTACGGTATGTCCGAGTAGTTAGCACAGACCGCATGATGGTCTACTATCTATTAGCAACCGGTAATTCAACTAAGCCTCATTCTTAGGTGTACCATGATATATCTAGGCACACATAAGGGAAAAGAGGGGTAGGGGATATGTATAAGTTGACAGCTGCAGTATCTTAAACGCCTACTGTTTTATATCTAGATCGTCACCGAATGCAGGCGGACGTAGGCGCGGTCCTCAGCGGATTATACCGACGGCCGAGGATGAAATACAAGCTGTCCTTCAGTCAGCAGGTGTCGTTCAGTACCTGCAGCGGTGGCGGTTGCTGGCCACCACCTTAGCATGCCGATGTCGGCGTACTGTGCAGATGCAAGCGTTGCGGCAGCATACGGACGGTTATGCATTCCGTTGTGGACACTGCAGACGGAAGCGGTGCCTGCGGACGGGGTCAATTTTCGTTGGTAGTAAGCTCAGTCTGCAGACACTGATGCGTATATGCTACAAGTTTGTCGACGATGTGCGGGCCAAGCGGTGTGCGGGAAGTGTAGGTGTCAGTAGAAATACTGCCATGGAATGGTACGGCATTTGCCGCGGGGCCTGCTCACACGCACTTATATCCGCCGTAACCCAAATTGGGAAACCAGGCGTGGAAGTACAGATAGACGAGACGCTCATAAGTCGCCGCAAGTATAACAGGGGACGACCGCTGCGGCAGTTGTGGGTCGTCGGTATGTACGATACACGCAGGCGGAAAGCCCTATTTGAGCAGATTAACTACAGCAGCTGGGAGGCCCTAAGGCCCGTCATAAGGAAGTGGGTGGCTGCTGGCAGTGTTATCGTAACCAATGAGTGGAAGGGTTACACCCGCCTACCGTCGGAAGGTTATACACACTACACTGTCAACCACCGTAGGGGCTTCGTGAATCCCACAACGGATCCGCATAAGAACGCCATAGAGGCCTACTGGAGCAGGTTAAAGAGGAAGCTGCAGGAGTCTGGACCTGTCTGTGGCAGAGCAGTGTGGGCCCATCTAGATAAGGTTCAGTACCGCCTATGGTCCGACCTAAGGGCCGACAGCATGGCAGCCTCCTGGGAAACTTTCCTACGACATTGGGCAGAAGCGTATCCAATTGAAGAGAGCCAACCAACGGAGACTGGATAAGCTAACCAACGGAGGCGCAGACAGAAGACGCGAAGGTAAGCATCGTTACTTCCTCCATTTGCTCTCCATGCCTACCGACAGTGAATGTGGCCGTTACCGGCCGGTCAACGAGGGAGCTGTCGATTGAGGAGAGCCAACCATCGACGATTGGAGAAGCTAACCAACGAAGGCGCAGACGGAAGACTGGAAGGGTTGACTCTGTACTTCGTCCACTTACTCTCCATGCCTACCTACAGTGCCTGTGGCCGTTACCTGCTGGCGATGGGAGAACTGGCGATTGAGGAGAGCCAACCAAGGCCGTTTGGAGAAGCTCACCAACGAAGGCGCAGACGGAAGACTGGAAGGTATGAATCTGTACTTCGTCCACTTACTCTCCATGCCTACCTACAGTGCCTGTGGCCGTTACCGGCCGGTCAACGAGGGAGCTGTCGATTGAGGAGAGCCAACCAAGGACGTTTGGAGAAGCTCACCAACGAAGGCGCAGACGGAAGACTGGAAGGTATGAATCTGTACTTCGTCCACTTACTCTCCATGCCTACCTACAGTGCCTGTGGCCGTTACCTGCTGGCGATGGGAGAGCTGGCGTTTGAGGAGAGCCAACCAACGACGATTGGGGAAGCTAACCAACGAAGGCGCAGATGGAAGACGTAAACGGAAGACTCCATACTTCCTCCATTTACTGTCCATGCCTACCTACAGTGATTGTGTCATTGTCTGCTGGCGATGAGGATACCCTCTACCAGAAGTGGATGATCAAGTTGATAGGGGGTACGGCATTGCATTGCAAGCGTGTAATCGCATACCCTTTTATAGTACACCTAACTGTTGAATGTTACTGATGTGGCAAGCCGGCTGCCCAAGGTAGTCGTGGACGATTTTCCGTACTACGCTGTATGTCTAGTGTATTGTTCCTTTTCCTAATTCGGAGTAAATGTTGCATTTTGCTATGGCATTGTTCTGGCTTACGGTGCTGCTAAGCCTCCGGAATGAGAGAAGGTGTGATACGCAGTTGAGTAAATTTCAACCACAGGGCTGCGCTAGCTGATAGGTGCCTATGGATCACTAATGGAAGAGTTGAACGGACGTTGTCTGTGGGATGGGCGGGCATCTCTAGCAGTGGTATCGGAGCCATCATCGCACGGTAAGGATTGCGACTGATCGACCACCCTGGAGGCTTGGTACGTGAACATGTTTACCGACGTAGAATAATGCAATGACGTCCATTAAGCCTAGTCGATAAACCCTTTTGGGGCAGGAAGGGAGTGATTACGGAAGGCCTTTAGAGCGGGAACAGGGAGGTGCGAAGAGACTGTCTTAGGCCGCAGCCGGCCATGGTAGACGGTAAGTAGGAATCGGTGTAGCTGGTAACTGGCGACGTGAACCACCCGCGGGGAAGGGCATATCAGGCCAACTAACAAAGCCGGGTGGCAGGGGCAGTAGACTATGAAACAGGCGGAAGTGGAAACACCCGGTGAGGGAATTGTGGAATGCGGTGAGCTTGCCTAAAGGGGAGAGGGACTGCCGGGATTGATGTTGGGACGGCGTACGTGACAGGCCTTTGGGAGGGGGGAGGGGGAAAGGCGTGGGCTAGGCGGTGAGGGAGCGGTAGGAATGTATATAAATACCGCAGTGGTCTAAGAGCCTGAAGCCTTTGGTGGCAGCTGCCCCAAGTGGAAGTCTTCTGTTTGGACGGCGTAGGCTGTAAGCCTTTGGGTGGGGGGTGGGTGGGTGTTGCAGAATATGGAGAGGGAGTGCCGAAGGTTCATGTACACGCCCGGAAGTGGATGCCGGGCTGGAAACATTAGTAAACAGCTGACGTAAGTGGTAGTCTGACTGACGAAAGGGGAATGCTGGCACCTCAGTTAGGTGGACTTCGGAATGCGTGGGAGGGGAGGTAAGTGGACCATGACCTGAAACCGAAAGATGATGGCGGGAAACTGCATGTAAACCACGAAACCGGCAACCCCGCAGTTAACAGCGCAACTGCCGCGCACGCGAACTGCCAAGAGGTGGTTTAGGAAAGGAGAAGGTAGTGGGCGTAAGGGTATAAAAGTGGCATTGTATATTGGACATAAATTTTAGGCAACAGAGGATGGAAACTCCCCGTAAACCCTACCGAGTCTGTTCGGTGGGTGTGGCTGAGGGTTTAAATACCACAAGCACACCTACTGAACAAACATTAGTACGTAAGGTAGCCGTGATGGAAGACCTGCGGCCGTTTATTTGGCACCCGTCGAAAACGTCACTTTCTACCGCATGAACATGAGAGTGAAGTTAATTTTTTAGGGCATCGAAAATCACTGAGAAAAATGTTTGCAAGTTAAGTAGTTTTTGTATGCGGCCGGTAAGAGGTTCGTTTGAAAGCCAGTATCCCGTGGTAACTGAATTATTATATAATTCTGCTGTACGATTATAAGTTTTACAACCCTACTTAATTAATCTTTTCGAAAAGAAAACGTATTTCGAAATTTCGGTCGACATTTCATGAGTTAGCCCACAAACTGCATGAACTATTAAATGTCGTATACATAGGCGTATTAGTTGAGTAGTTACACTAATGCTAGTGTAGGTATTCTTTGGATTTTTCTAGATTCAGTGCTGCTTTATTCACCGGAATAGACGCACGCGAGGTCAAAGCTATGTCAGAAGACAGTCAGGATAACTCGTTTATTCTTTGTGGTTCTGTAGCAATAAACAGTAAGATTAGCTGAGCACAATAGAGTTAATAAGGCGGAGAATAAATTGAAAAGTGGACGTTCATTCGAGGTGATAAGACGAGCAGTCAGCGAATGACGCCAAAGTGTGTTGGTTGGCTTATAAGCGATTGGCAACAAAGAGCAATAGACAATGGACAAAGAACAATGAACAAAGAATGATGAGAACCGACGAATAGGGATACGGAGAAAAAGACAGGGTGGTATGAGTAGAGTCTGGTTACTAACAAACGGTAAGTAGCAGAGATGGGGTGTAGGGGTGTCAAGCGGTGGGTTCACGTGATGGTCGTAGTGGTCGCTCACTTGCTTGCAGATGAGAATACGCCTAGCGTCCCTTTGCTTGCACCCAACTCTCACCTTTGGCTCCACGAGGCTGGGCTCTGCTCAGCGGCCACACCCCGGGCAACCGTCTCGACCGGCGGGCTAAACCAGGTGAGGGCGCTGTGCGCTTGTTCCGCGTGCACAGTGTACTGCGGACTCCGCTGGATGGATGGTCGGATGAAAAACTGCGCCGGCATCGTTGAGACGAGGCTCTGCCCGGTACGCCGTTGGACAACTGCTGCCGGGACGGGTCTCCGCATCGCCTTCGCTGAGACGCGCCCACCCTCGCCGACGGAGACCGCGGACTCACGGCATATGCGGTCGTTCTCCACTACAAACATAAAAGTCGTGGCCCCATAGTGGGATTCGGTCGCGCCAACCAGGCACATGGGCAGCCCTATTCAGGGGCGGCACTGCCTGCCCCCACGAGGGGAAGGGCCTAGAAAAGGTGGCCTAAAAAATGCTAGTTACCACGCGTCTTCAGGCTAGCCAGCGCCGCAGACGTCTAATCATGGTCGAAATACTCAAAATCGAAACAACAACATTACCAATAACAACAACAACAACAATACTCATTCTCCTCATCCTACCTCCTCTACCTCTTCCTCTGCCTATTCTTTTGCCTATTCTTCTCCTTCGTCATCTTCTTCTCCACCTCCTTCCCGTCGCCCAGCTCGTTGTCCCCAGACTGGCAGGGTGAGCCCGCTCACTCTGGCAGCCTGGAATGTTCGTTCCCTTTTAAACAATCCGAGGAGCAACCGACCGGAGCGGAGGACGGCTCTAGTGGCACGAGAACTCGCCCGAAACAAGGTGGACATCGCCGCACTCAGCGAGACCCGATTCTCCGAGCAAGGCCAACTGGAGGAGGTAGGTGCCGGCTACATCTTCTGGAGTGGTCGGCCCAGGCCAGAGCGACGAGACGCGGGCGTCGCCTTCGCCATCCGGAACGACATCGTGGGACGACTGCCCTGTTTGCCGCAGGGCATCAACGATCGCTTGATGAGCCTCCGCCTGCCTCTCCGGGGTGGGGGCAAATTCGCCACCATCATCAGCGCCTACGCTCCGCCGATGACCAGCCCCGACGCCGCCGCAAGGGACAAATTCTACGAGGACCTGCACGCCCTCTTGGCGACTGTGTCGAAGGCGGACAAGTTGATTGTCCTTGGTGACTTCAACGCCCGCGTCGGCACAGACCATACTGCCTGGAGGGGAGTGCTGGGTCCTCACGGTCTCCGCGGCTCCAACGACAACGGCCTGCTTCTCCTCAGCACCTGCGCAGAACACCGCCATACCCTGACGAACACGTTCTTCTGTCTGCCGGAGCGAGAGAAGGCCACCTGGAGGCATCCTCGGTCGCGTCAGTGGCACCTGCTGGACTATGTCCTCGTCCGGAGGCAAGATCAGCGGGACGTGCTGGTGACGAAGGCGATCAAGGGGACTGACGGGTGGACCGACCATCGCCTCGTCATCTGTAAGATCCGTATTCGCCTGCAGCCTCGCAGGAGACCACAAGGTAAGCGACCTCCAAGTAAGCTGAATGTTGCCTTTTTGTCCTTGCCCGCTCACCATCTTCATTTCAGCAATGAGCTAGCTCAAAGGCTAGACAACCTTCCTATCGCTGTCGTCTCCGCCGCTGCCGCTAAAGCCTCCGTGGAGAACCGCTGGTGTCAACTGCGAGACACGGTCCAGTCGACGGCGCTCGCCGTCCTCGGTCGCGCTCCCCGCCAACACCAGGACTGGTTCGACGACAACGACGCTGCCATCAGAAATCTCCTTGCTGAGAAGAACCGCCTACACAAAGCCTACGTAGATCACCCCACTGAGGACAACAAAGCTGCCTTCTACCGCAGTCGCCGACAGCTTCAGCAACGACTGCGCGAGATGCAGGACGCCTGGACTGCTCGCAAAGCTGAGGAGATCCAAGGCTACGCGGACCGCAACGAATGGAAGAACTTCTTCTCCGCGATCAAAGCTGTCTACGGTCCGCCGACGAAGGGCACTGCTCCTCTCCTCAGCGCCGACGGTAGCACCCTCCTGACTGAGAAGACCCAAATTATTCAGCGATGGGCCGAGCACTTCCGAGGCGTCCTCAACCGCCCCTCTGTCATCTCCAATGCCGCCATCGACCGTCTGCTGCAAGTGGCGACCAACGTGGATCTCGACCTCCCGCCATCTCTCCAGGAGACCATCAGGGCCGTGCAGCAGATCTCCAGCAGGAAAGCACCCGGATCGGACGAAATCCCTGCTGAGGTCTACAAGCACGGAGGTCCCCAATTGATGGATCACCTGACTGCGCTCTTCTAGGAGATGTGGCGTCAAGGTGAAGTCCCGCAATATTTCAAGGACGCAACTATCGTGCACCTATACAAGCACAAAGGGAATCGCCGAGTCTGCGACAATCACCGCGGCATCTCCCTGCTGAACATCGCCGGGACGATCTTCGCCCGAATCCTCCTCAACCGTCTCAATAACCATCTCGAACAGGGCTTTCTGCCTGAAAGTCAATGCGGCTTCCGTCGTCATCGTGGGACCACGGATATGATCTTCACCGCCCGCCAACTTCAGGAGAAGTGCCAGGAGATGCGGACCCACCTGTTCTCTACCTTCGTGGACCTGCCGAAAGCCTTCTACACGGTGAATCGTGAAGGACTGTGGAAGATCATGCAGAAATTCGGCTGTCCGGAGCGATTCACTCAGATGGTGCCTCAGCTGCACGACAGTATGATGGCGCGAGTCACAGACAACGGAGCTGTCTCAGAGGCACTCGCAGTGACCAATGGAGTGAAGCAGGGCTGCGTACTGGCGCCTACCCTCTTCAGTCTTATGTTCTCTGCCATGCTGACGGACGCCTACCGCGACGAACGCCTCGGGATCCGCATCGCCTATAGGACGGACGGTCACCTGCTGAAACAACGGCGGATGCACTTCCAATCGCGCGTATCCACAACCACTGTTGACGAACTCCTCTTCGCCGACGACTGCGCCCTGAACTCCACCTCGGAAGCGGAGATGCAACGGAGCATGGACCTGTTCTCCGCAGCCTGCAAAAATTTCGGTCTGGTCATTAACACGCAGAAGACGGTGGTGATGCACCAACCGCCACCCCACTAAGTCACAGCCCCCAACGCGCCGCCTCAAATCAGCGTGAATGGGACCCAACTACAAGTGGTGGAGAACTTCCCGTACCTGGGCAGTACTCTCTCCCGCAACACCAAGATCGACGACGAAGTCGCCAACAGGATCTCGAAAGCCAGTCAAGCCTTCGGTCGCCTCCAAAACACAGTTTGGAATCGCCACGGTCTTCAGCTGAGCACGAAGCTGAAGATGTACAAGGCCGTCATCCTGCCGACACTACTGTATGGAGCGGAGACTTGGACGATGTACGCAAAGCCGGCACGCCGTCTGAACCACTTCCACCTCAGTTATCTTCGTCGCATCCTGAGGCTGAACTGGCACGATCGAATCCCCGACACTGATGTGCTGGAACGGACAGGAATCCTCAGCATCTACGCCAGACTGAGACAAATGCAGCTGCGCTGGAGCGGCCACCTGGTGCGCATGGACGTCGAGCGACTGCCCAAACGACTCTTCTACGAAGACGTCGCGACGGGTTCTCGCCGTCAAGGAGGCCAGATTCGCCGTTACAAGGATTCCCTGAAGTCCTCCCTGAAACGCCTGCAAATCAACCCCACCAACTGAGAAGAGCTGGCACTCGATCGAATGACCTGGAGGAGGACAGTGAAGACAGGCACTGCGATCTACGAAGCCAACCGCATCGCTGCCGTCAAAGCGAAACGCGAAGCCTGCAAATCACAACTTCGCCCAGTACGCAACGCCGCTGCACAACCGCTTCCAACGTGTCCTCGATGTCAACCGACATTCCGGGCTCGAATCGGACTTGTTGGACATCTTCGGATTAACTGCGCCTCTCGAACTGCACCAATCATCGTCTCCCCGCCCGCCTCTTCCTCCTCCTCTCCGCCGCCAAATAACTCTGACAATTCTTCTGACCCACCACTTCTATCCTCCTCCTCCTCCTC